GCGCCCAGGCCTGGAGGCGCGGGGCCGGGCCCGGGACACGCGAGCGCAGGCCTGGGGCTGATCGTCATTGGGTGAGTCCTGATCTGGGAAGGGAAGTGGCTGAACGCTGGCGTGTGATGTTTGTGCATGTGCGTGATGTGTTTTCTGCCCGCAAAGCTGGAATCCATCCCTTCTGTCCCCGCATCCATTCATGGCATTCTCGTGCTCACAGCACGCGGGCCGCCCGGGTGACGTCGCTCACTGGCTCCAAGAAGCATCCATGACATCTGAGTTGACTTCTGCAATCCCCAGCCCAGGTCGCTTCTAGCAGGTCCTGTGCTAAGTCAGGACAGCCTGGGTGTTTTATAGGGAGGGGCGGGTTCGCGAAGGCCAGTTCATTCCAGAAAATATCCTGCATTTCAGCCCATGCAGCATACAGGGCTCATTTCAGACAACCCTTCTTAACAGGAATACACAATTGAAGCTGGGATGGCTGGCCAGTCATTTCCTTGACAACTAGAATGGAGTGACTCCCGGAGACTGGGACTCGGCCTTAACTTTGATACATCAACAAATTAATGCACTGGTTCAGTTGTTGCACTTCCGTTTACACCAAAAAGTAGGTCCTGTCTGCAAATGAACAGCCCTAAATGTACCCACTGAGCTGAATTTTTTCATCTCTAAATAGAAGGAGCTACCATAGAACTGTTCCTTGGCTACGTTGTTTGTAATTAAAGCTTAAACGCTCCACCACATCAAGTTTTAAAGTTTGTAGGACGCATCCTGTAGGTTGTGTACATTTTCCTAGAATGTAGGGCTGATGTAGGAGTTGATAGTTCACAGGGAATTAAATATGTTCCGTATATTTCATGAAAGAACAGCACAACAATGCATGACTGGGAGACAGAGAAACCAACAAAGCAAAACAAGACATAAAAAGAAAAACAGAAGGTAAATGTTACAGATTCTGTTTCTAGTTTACAACGTCAGTCACCTGTGTTTCGTGGAAAGACCAGCTCCGTCCCTGTTGTCCTTGTGACCTTGGGCAGTCATTCTCCGAATTCTGTGGTCAAATGTACAAGCCATTACACTGAACCTGGAAGTTCAAGAAGTTCCACAGAAGTCCAGAGACTTTGAAGACAGGGGGAAGAGCAGAGGAGGAAGTTGGAGAAATGGTCTGAAAGTCGTTTCAAGGCGTCCATTTTCTAGTAATCCCCACCCTCACCCCCATACCTGGCCAGCACTCCTGTCTTGGAGACCTCGTGGTCTCACTACACTTTGAAGTGAGCAGCAGTGTTCCTCTTGGCAAGGATATGGTGTAATGTGAAGAGAGAAACTAGTTCTTCCATTTTGTAAATAATTTCTTCTTCGTTTGAACTACCTCCTTCCCACTCTTCCCACCCTACCCCATGACCTCAGAAAAAGGGTGAGTATTCTGGAAGAAGAAATTATTTAGTTGGAAACAAAAACAAATGGGTACACATTTTCAAATTGCACAAAAGGAGAGGAGGTGCTAAGTAGGAGCAAGAGAAGCTAAATGAGTGCAGGGGGGACTCCATTCTGTTGTAATCTCCATGTTTTGGAGATATCAGCTACTGTGAATTTTCTTTCTTTATAAAGGTTAAATATGTTCCAGAAATGTCTTTAATTTGGAGAATATTTTTGAGTCTGGTCACAGTGTAATCTTTTGATTTAAGCATGAACATTCAGAGTAATTAGAGAGCTCAAACATATTCTTTAGAAGCGCTGATCGAATCTCTGCCTATTGATTTGTTTTTCAAGAAACAGGAAATCTTTACCTGACAGGCATTGGTTTAGGTACTACAGGTAAGAAAGCTAATCAAGTGTCAAGATCATCATAATAAAAAGCCAAGTATTAAAAGAGAGCTTGGGAGAACCAAGATGGCAGCATAAGGTACAAACCTTTATGTGCTGCCCCCCACAACATTAAAACCACAACTATAAGACAAAATAGCTATCTTCCAGAACCATGGGAAAGCTGACCGAGTGGAAGTTCTACAAGTAGAAGGAAAGCAAAAAGCGCATTGAGACCGAGTAGGAGGGGAGAGGTGCCAAGAACAGAGGTACACAGGCACGCAGGAGGCTGCTGCACTGGGTGCGTGGTTTTTTTCAATCGAAAGGGGATACAAGCTCTCGAATGCACTGAACTCATTTAGGGTGAGACGCTGGGGTCCCAGGCTCCTACGGGGAGAAACGGGACTGTCTTGCAGCAAGTCAGAAAGCAGGGGTGAATTTCTTATAGAGCTGCTCGCAGGAATCATTGTTGCTGTGGGGGCACGCGGCACTCCGGGAGTTGTGGAGACGCTGACGACACCATTGCTGTTTGCTTTGCCCTGGGGACTCTCTGAGACCCCGCCCCACTCAATTTACATCCCCTCCCAAGCTGTGCTCGGTGGCACAAAGGAGGCACCTGCGCTTTTGCAGCCTAACAAACTGCAGCTGGATCAGGGAGCTCAAAAACTACCAAACTCCAAACAAAGAGGAGAAATCTATTGATATCGCTGTAGCTCCTGCTGTGTAGACCCACACAGTGGTTGACTTGGAGATCCAGGAGCCAGGGTACTCCGGGTCAGATACTAGATTTCTACTCCTCACATCCATAAGGGACACACTCAAGAAGCAGACTCAGTGAGCACCAAAGCTCCACTGAAGCAAGGGTGGAGCTTGCACCCTTAAGGGTGCATAAGGGTGTCTCCAGCACAGCAGTTCTTCCACTATAGAAACAGAGGGCCCTCGCAGTCAGCCAAAAATGCAGAGACAAAGAAGCATGTCAAAAATGAAAGAAATAGAGGAAAGCAAACTAATGGTGGACATAGAGTTCAAAACCACAGTTATAAGGCTACTCAAGAATCTTCTACAAACCTCCGAGAAACTTAGTGAGACCTCCAAGGATCTTAATGAGAAGGCCAAAAAAAATGGAAAAGGACCAGTCAGAAATTAAACATACATTGACTGAAATTAAAAATAATATACAGGGAACCAACAACAGACTAGAGGATCCCAAGAATCAAGTCAAAGATCTGAAATGCAAAGAAGCAAAAAACACCCACCCAGAAAAGCAAAAAGCAAAAATAGTCCAAAAATATGAAGATAGTGTAAGGAGCCTCTGGGACAACTTCAAATGTACCAACATCCGAATTATTGAGGTGCCAGAAGAAGAGAGAGAGCAAGATATCGAAAACCTATTTGAAGAAATAATGACAGAAAACTTCCCCTACCTGGTGAAAGAAATAAACTTACAAGTCCAGGAAGCGCAGAGAACCCCAAACAAAAGGAATCCAAAGAGGACCACACCAAGACACATCATAATTAAAATGCCAAGAGCAAAAGACAAA